ATGGAATTGTTCGCTGGTGGGGAAGGGATTGGCGATTGGGCCAGCAAGTTGGATTGGCCATTGGGCCTATCAATTTGAGCCATGCTGGCCATTCTGTTTCATGGTTTCTCTACTAGTTTTATTGTTATTATGTGAAATCACAATGTAAATTGATCTTCCTCTTCTTTTTTGGGAGAGGTAACGAAGTGAAGGGGAAGGATGGAAGATATCCACCCTGGTAAAGTGGAGCTGGGATGGTGGACCCTAGACCCAAGTCATGGGTGAATCGCTCCGGTTAGTGGCAGCTTTGAAAGAAGAATCGCTAGAAAAGTGAGAAACAAGGAAGCCAGCTTAGTGCTAGCTATACTGCAAATTCAGAAGACAACCTCTTCAGAAAAGAGGTAAGATTTTAATCTTACTTACGAGTCATTAATAAATGACAAATTATAATATATTTCTATGAACCTTTTATGCATGAAATTGAGAAAGGTTATGAATGCTAGAATGAAAGCTTGAATTGATGCATGATAAGTTGACATTGAGATATATTACGCATCTCGATGATTAGAGCATAAATTGAATACATGCTATGGAAAGAATATATGATTTTGTCTAAATGTCTGCATTGAAGAATATATGGGAATAGAATGGGTTTATTGCCCATAATAACGATATTGTAAGAAGTACTATTATTAGTACTACACGAACCACTTAGGCTGCTCTGAAACGTTAAAGTTTCAAGAATGAGAGCAGCAAGCCGAATTAGATCCATACCAAATAGAATGGTACCCGTTGTGGTAACCATAAGATTGTCACTCAATCCTCTAAGAATGACGTTATGTTTCTCTGTTAAATTTGTGAGAAACTAGGTCATAAGACACGAAAGTGTAAGAACAAGTTTAACCTAGTGTTAACTTGACTAAAGAAGAGGATTTAGTAATAATATTCACTGAGGTGATGACAGAGGTTAGCCTTGATGGTAACTCTGAAGAATGGTTGTTGGATAGGACCGCTTCAAAGATATGTGTGTGATAAACGAGCTAAGCTCAATCATACATTGACGCGTCTTGAAGGAGAAAGTGTTGTTGGGCAAGACCCTCACCACTATTGTTGATGGTTCTGGAAAAGTGGAAGAGAACCCTGCCTCTAGAAAGTCATTGACTATCCTAGATGTAAGGAATGGTTAAGTAGATAAGATAAATTCTTCCAAGTGTGTCTGTGTGAAGAATTAGAATATCTTATATCGCATTCCCATATTATTATTGGATGCTTGAGAAAAATATGAATTTTCTATATCCAAGCTAAATGACCCATAAATATGTGATTAGAGAATCAGAATAAATAGATCTGATTTATGTGGGTAAACTTGATGGAAAAGACAATAAACAATTTATTGCTCTTTAGAGTGCTCTGATTGTCTGACTAGTTATTTTAAATGGTTTGAAATGCCTAATTGCATTATGATTGCACTGATTATTCGATATGTGGCATGCAAGTGGTAGCGTTAGAAAATCAGTGTAGCATGATAACTAGAAGAGCATATGAGTGTGTTTTATGTTGTTAACAATAAAAACATATAGTTCCTATGAATGAAATACTCATTATGTTGTGAATCCATGAATGCCAATAGACTTTCATTTAAAATAAAGAGATAGTGGGGGTTGTATCCCACCTACTATTAGAAATAATGGATAACTAGTGGGGGGTGATGAATCTGGGTATGAACTCAGAAGAGACAAATGAACCATAAATCACAAAAGGATTTTGGTTATGAATTTGTTATTTACACCCTAAGAAAAAAAAAATCCTACAAGTCTGCTAGAAGTTCGAATTTCCATAAAGATGCAGAATTGTGGGAGAATCCATTATTAACGAAATGGAATTATTGGAATCTAATAAGACTTAAAATCTTGTAGAGTTACCTCTTGGTTGAAAAGCCTTGGGTAATATATCGATAGAATCGAACAAGATTTGGCATCTTTGAGAATTACCTCTTGGCAATGAAGTCATGGGTAATAAATAGACTCTTAAAAGAAAAGTGAAACCTATTGGTTTAGTTTATGAGTATAAGGATCGCCTAATAGCTAAGGCTTTAAGCGAAAAGGAAAAATTGTAAATTTTGTCGTTATCTATTCACCATATGTAGAATAACATCCATGTATGTTCTGATTGCTAGTGTTGTGCGTCAGATGGATTGTTAAACATGTTTCTGTGAATGGTGATTTAGATTGGAAAATCTACATGGGACAACCTATAGGGTTGTTATTCCTGAACATGCTTAGGAAGTCTATAGTTAGACAAATCATTGTAAGATTTGAGATAGACTCTAAAACGATGGCATGAATAAACTGGTTCTCTCTCATGGTTTTAAAAGTGAAAGTGACAAGTGCATTTAGTACAATTTTGAGAATGACACTTGCATTATGAATGACACGTCGATCTTTGGTACAAAGACTCGTGATGTCAATATTGAAAAACCATGATGGTTGAGAATTTTGAATGTGAAGGATCTGTTTGAAACAAATATTATGCTTAGAGATCCTAATAACTAGGAAAATACAAGATGTACACCTGCATACATGTTTGATGATGCTAGTATAAATATTTAACGAACACCTAAGATGGTGTAAGAAAGTTAGAATATACTAGCATTTACAGTCTGCGAGAGGCAGCTGATAAACATGAGACCCGATTTAGTGGGGGGTACTTGGCAGGCTTACTGATTGTCCTAGTACGAAGCATTGAAATGCTATTGAAAAGGGTCATGAGACACCTTAAGTGAACAGTAGGCCTTGATATATGTTATCAACGGTTTCTTGCTGTATTGGTAGGGTATAGTGATGCGGATTAGAATACCCTATAGAGGACTCCAAGACAACAAGAGGATGTGTTTTAAACATCGATATAGAAGCTATGTCTTGGAAGTCTAGGAAGTAAATGATCCTGGCTCAATCAACTAAGAAATCAGAAATGATAGAGCTAGCAATGGCTAGTAAAGAGAAAAGTTGATTGAGAGGGTCATTACTACAGATTCCCTTGTGGGAAAGACCGATCCCTCCGGTAGTTGATTCATTGTGATAGCACCGCAACTATTACTAAAGAAGGGAACCGGTTCTAGAACGAAAAGAGACGACAAATTTTTCGTAAGCACAGTACTGTAAGAGAACTCCTAACGACAGGATCAATGAGGGTGGATCATGTAAGATCCTAATAGAATCTAGTTGATCCTTTGACGAAAGGATTACCTAGAGAGAAAAGTCCAAAATACCACGGAAGGTATGAGACTTATGCCTACGGAACCATGGATTACAAGTGATGGTAACCCGACCCGATAGACTGGAGATCCCAAGAAACGGGTTCAATGGGTAATAACAAGTCATGAGTAATATTGAGAAAAGTTCATGCATAGTGAAGCATGAATCCCAAAGCCTTGGAGGTTGAGTTAAACTCTTAATGAGATCTATACTCTATGTGGAGTGAAGTACTTTACTTTGGGGGTACTTCTGATAGACTCACCTATGTGAATGTGGGAGTGGGGCCGCTCCCTATGGAACTTTGGAGGCACAAAGTTGCTAGAGCGTTCACTAAACCGGGATAACGTGCATGGCCATAAACGCACGGCCTATGAGAGAATATCACTCAATGAAAAGATCCGGTGTGCTACATTGTCTGAGATAGGGTTCAAGACTACGAGTCACCCTTATGAAATCGGAAGTGTAACCACTACGCTAAGGTTCAAATCTTCGCGATACCTTAGCTTATGATCTTATGGAACTGTTGATGCTCAGAGATAGTTTCAAACTATTCAAGTGGGGGATTGTTGGGATGAATAGCTTTGAAAATCTATAATGAAATTCCTAATTAATTATCCAGTATTTTCCCATAATACATAAATAAGATGGATAATTAATAAAAGGAATATTATGGAGATAATTAGGAATAATTATCTTAATAGATTATATTTTAATTATGGGAGTAATTATCTTCCTAATTAAAATATGACTTATTCCCAAAGAAAGAGGGAATATTCTGGGTTTTCTGCTCCTATAAATAGGAGACGCCCCAGACCCTCTAAACACACCTCAGAAGAGCAGAAACACGAGAGAGAGTGAATTCATAGAGCTCCGGTTTTTCGCACAAAACCGATGAGCAAGAAAACTAGAATGGCTGTTTTATCCTGGAGGCGACCGGCTGATAGTCTGCTGTGCGCAATACGAGGCAGTGCCGCGAACGTCTTAAAGAGAGCGACCTAGTCCGAGACTCAGCCAAATCGGTAACCCTAATTTTTCTGTTCGGTTTCTAACACCAGCTGGTGGCCTTTTTACGACTAGGGGAAACTAGCTATTCTCAGCTTGATTCGTGTAGTTGTTAGACAGTGAGTTTTCCTTTATTTCCATATACAGATTGCTTTCCATCTGCAGATTTGTAACACAAAAAGGAACAATCCAAACTAGCTAGCCAGTTGTTTTTTCTGTACAGATTGTGAAACAAGAAAAAAGAAAGCTACTTGTTTGATTCGCCATAATTACTGGAAGCTAATCTGGATAAACATCCTCCTTATCTAACCGCTCCTAGTAACTTACCCGTTTCTCTTGTGTCCCCTTTGATTCGAACATTATGTGCATATACATCTTATTCCGGACCCCAAATCATCAAAAACTACTCTTAAAATTTGATTCGTCTGTGGACCACATACCCTCAATGATATGAACATTTTCCCCCTTTCAAGTCTCCAGTCTTAGCCCTTATATAGGTTCCGTGCTTGTGCTAACCTCGTTCTAATTGAGTTGATTAAGACGTATAACCAGATGATTAAGACGCATAACCTGATCAATACATTTGTGTCTATTATTCCAAAAAATATTCTCTTCTGCTAACTAATTTCTGCATTTGCACCAGCAGCTAAGCAATAGGGTCCCACTACCCTTGCCCACTTGGCTCTAGCACCTGCTTTCATTTCCTTAACCAAGTCGGATTACAAACTCTGTATATATATATAAGTCCTCCTTAATTCTCAGAAAGTCACAGAGACACACTCCACTTACCATTCTCATTTCTATACTGAATCATTCCCACTTCCTCACACCAGTCCAACAATGCATCCCAAGATTTTGCCTTTGATGGCTACTTTCACCATTTTCGCCACCTTTCTTCTCACTTTAGTCCAAACCGAACAGCAGCACATTGTTCTAATGGACTCCAATGTCATGCCAAAAGCATTCCAATCTCCACACCACTGGCACCTAGCCTCTCTGTCGTCGATTTCGCAGTCAGAATCCCCTGCCTCCAAGCTAATCTACTCCTACTCCAAAGTCCTCGACGGATTCTGTGCTTCCCTCACCGACTCCGAGCTCGAATCAATGAAAGCTTCTCCGGGCTTCCTGCACTCCTTTCACAACTCACCAGTCAAATACGACACCACACACTCGACCGACTTCCTGGGACTCACCGCCGTTTCCTCTCCAGCTTGGGAGTCGTCCAATTACGGGGAAGGGATGATCATCGGGGTCGTCGACACGGGCGCCTGGCCGGAGAGCGACAGCTACGGTGACCAAGGGATGGGTCCAGCCCCGGCGAGGTGGAAAGGGCAGTGTCACTTCAACAACGGCTCGCTCTGTAACAACAAGCTTGTTGGAGCGCGCGTGTTCAACAATTCCCTTATCGCAGCCAACATCAGTATGCTCTGCAGCGACTCTCCCCGCGACTGCGACGGACACGGGACCCACACGTCCAGCACCGCAGCCGGTAGCTTCGTGGACCGTGCCTCCTATTTCGGCTACGCTCGGGGAACGGCGAAGGGGACCGCTCCTAAGGCCCACGTCGCCGTCTACAAGGCGTTGTTCGGCGAATACTCTTCCCCGTGTGACGCCGTCGCCGCAATCGATCAAGCAGTTGCTGACGGCGTGGATGTACTGTCCATATCGTTTGGCTACGATCACATCCCGCTCCACGAGGACCCAATCGCCGTCGCAACATTCGCGGCCGTACAGCGGAATGTATTCGTCGCCACGTCAGCCGGAAATGCCGGCACGGACCTTGGGGCCCTCCACAACGGGATTCCCTGGGTCCTCACCGTCGCTGCCGGAACAATTGATCGCCGATTCCGGGCGAGGCTCAAAATCGGAAACGGATTCTCGGTTTCCGGGTCGTCTCTGTACCCGGGAACTCACTCCACCAACGAATCCCCGGTCGTCTTCATGGGCGATTGCGCCAACGCGACAGAGGAATTAATCAGAGGCAAGGTCTTGGTGTGTCAAGGGTTCAATCAGCTTCTCAGCCTCAACAATTCCGGCGCCGTCGGGGGAGTATTCGTAACCAATGTCACCGAATCGCTCCTCGAAGAATTGATCCAGATTTCACTGCCGGCAATTTTCATAACCACGGAGGACGGGCAGAATGTGGAGAACTACTTGAGGAGCCACCCGGCAGCGAGAGGGAGCTTAGAATTTGAGCTCACCAGCTTTGACTTGAGCCCAGCGCCTACGCTCGCAAGTTACAGCTCCCGAGGCCCATCACACAGTTGCACGTTGGTTCTGAAGCCCGACATAGTTGGGCCCGGATCATTGATACTCGCGGCCTGGCCCTCCAACATCAAGCCCAATGAGAACGGCCCGAATTATTTACACACCGAGTTCAACCTTTTGTCCGACACTTCAATCTCGTGCCTGTTAGAGTGTGGTATAAGATCCAGCAGAACCTTCTCCCAACAACTCGAGTTATTGGGATCAACTGATTTATGACATGGTATCAGAGCCTCGAACCAAAAGGTCATGTGTTCGAATCTACACGACCCCTAATATTAACCGTTGTCTTTCAAGCACATGGTATGGTGAGCCTGTGCAAACTTCAAGCCCATGGGTTGGCTTTCGTTTGAGGGGGCGTGTTAGAGTGTGGTATAAGATCCAGCAGAACCTTCTCCCAACAACTTGAGTTATTGGGATCAACTGGTTTATGACAGTGCCCACATCTCGTCGGAGTGGGAGCGCTCATCAAGAAGGCGCACCCGGAGTGGAGCCCTGCCGCGATTCGATCGGCGATGATGACGACGGCGGATTCGCTCGATCTCTCCAACCAGCCGATCAAAGATGCGGGCAAAAGTGAACGCACGTCCACAGCTTTTGGTATCGGGGCGGGTCACGTCAACCCCAACAAGGCGCTAGACCCCGGTCTAGTCTACGACGCCGGCGCGATCGATTATGTCAACTTGCTATGCGGAATGAATTTCACCGCTAAGCAAATTCGAGCCATCACACGATCGTCGACAACCAACCTCTGCTCTGCACCAACTCTCGACCTCAATTATCCGTCCTTTATTGCACTCTTCAGCGTCAATTACTCAAGCAGTTCTAGCCCGAATGAGGTCTTGGAGTTTACTAGGACAGTGACTAATGTTGGCAAAGGGACGACGAGCTACCGAGCAACTTTGACGCCGTTGGAAGGGTTGTTCGTTAAGGTGGTCCCCAACAAGCTCGAATTCAGTAGTGAGGGACAGAAGCTCCAGTTCAAGCTCACGATTGAAAACAACCATCCAGTCAAGAAGAAGCCTTTTGTAAGTTCCGGTTATCTTAGGTGGACAGAAGATGGAGGTGACCATATCGTGCAGAGCCCCGTTTTGGCCACAAACAAGGAGTTCAAACCACTGTGACCTTCCAGTCCCACAGACACGTGAAGTTGTTGCTCTTACCCTACCTATTGTGCTAAAAGATGATTGATGACATCCATCGCAATCTTATCATTAATTATCGTAATTAGAGCTCAATTGGATGCATATGTGCCTTATAATTGGGAAAAAATCCAAAACTACCACCGTTTAAAAAAAAAATTACAAAAATACCACCCAGACCAAATAATTTCCAAAAATACCATCATTTATATAAAACCGCGCATTTAATGAGCGGTTTTTAATAAAACCGCGTCTCCAGGCGGCGGTTACAGAGAAAAACGCGCCCTCAAGGCGCGGTTTGACCTTGCATGGCTGTCAAACCGTGTTGTCACGTGGCGGTGCATCAAACCGCCAATCGGAGGAGCGTTTAGACGGATAAAACGTGTGCCAAGTCAGCAATCCGTGTCGCCCACAGAAACTGCTTCCCCGAGGCGCGGTTTGACCGTTGGGAAACTAAAACCGCTCCCCCGAGGCGCGGTTTGACCGTCGGGAAACTAAAACCGCGTGCTGGAGGCGCGGTTTTTGGTGGCGAGAAATTACTCCACCGACCCTCCCCCACGCGGTTTGAAGCCTATATAACCCCTCCCCCCCCCCCCCCTTCTTCTCTTTTCTGCACACCATCCACCACACTCCCCTTTCTCCCTCTAACTTCTCTCTACCCAACCCCTCCCCACCCAACCTTAGAATTAGTTTTTTTGTTGGTTGCGGCTAAGTCCGATCTGCCTCCAAAATACTTTTTCTTTGGTTTTCACTAAAAAACCGTCGAACCTCTGTCCGGATTCCGAGAGAATGGCCGATTTCGCTCAAAAAGAGGGTCTTTTTTATGATGATTATCAAACGGTACGTACTCATTTTTCCCAATTGTTGTTGTTGTTATAATGATTTATTTAATTTATATACTAATGATTTATGTTATTGTTATGCTATCGTAGGTTGGGCCGAATGTTGATATTTTCAATCAACGATATTATGTTGATCAAGGACCGATTGATCCGACAGTTTTATACGATCAAGCAAATCATCGTTCAAGAGACGTTTGGAACGACCACAAGGTACATATTATTTATCATCACTTGTAATTTGTATTTTGTTAAAATAATTTATTTGTTGTACAATAATTTACTTAATTGTTAATCGTATTGATTATTTTCAATAATTTAAATCAATACAATACAACACTTATTGAGACTCTGTTATAAAGAAATGCATGTCTAAGGAAATGGGGACTTAAGCGATCATCATGATCCCCCCATGACCTGGGAAAATCGGGTTCTAAGCGATCCTCGGATCCCCCCTTTTTCTGTCAAAAAGACTGTGTTTCTAAGGAGATGTATACCTCTCCTAAGAGTCTTACGAGTGTACTTGTATTGCTTTAAATTATTGAAAATAATTAATACGATTAACAAAATAATATTTTTGATTTTATGTGTATGTGTACAAAAATATTTATATTTGTACTTAAATTTCGAATATTACTTTAGTTATGTTATTATTAATATTTATTAGATAATGTATATTTTTCTAAAACAACCTTGCTTTAATTAATATTGCATCTTTTAATATTATTTATTTATGCTAATATTAATGTTTATTATATAATGCATATTTCTCTAAATGAACCTTGATTTAATTAATATTGCATCTTATAATATTATTTAGTTATGTTAAAATTAATATTTAATTAGATAATGTATATTTATCTAAAACAACCTTGATTTAATTAATATTGCATCTTATAATATTATTTAGTTATGTTAAAATTAATATTTAATTAGATAATGTATATTTCTCTAAAACAGCCTTGATTTAATTAATATTGCATCTTATAATATTATTTAGTTATGTTAAAATTAATATTTAATTAGATAATGTATATTTCTCTAAAACAACCTTGATTTAATTAATATTGCATCTTAGAAAATTATTTTAGTTATGTTCAAATAAATGTTTATTAGATAATGTATATTTCTCTAAAACAACCTTGATTTATATATAAATTGTATCAACATAATATATTTATATATGTATAAATCATCAACTTATAATGAAAATTAAATTTTTTCTAGGATGCATACCATATAGTCCGCTATAGGGGCACAACGAATGTGCTTGAATGGAACGACGTCATCTTGCCCTTTCTAAAAAGGGCAAGATTGGATTCGATTCGGCATTTCAATGGGATCAAGATCGACCGCCAACTCATCACGGCGATGGTAGAGAGATGGCGAAAGGAGACACACTACTTTAATTTTCGTGAAGGCGAGTGCACCATCACACTTAAGGACATCGCCATCTTAACCGATCTCCCCATCGATGGTGATGTTGTTTGTGTGGATTCTACGCCACCACCTAAAGTTGTTGCCAATATGAGTGGTTGGCAACATTTTATATGGACGGTCACCGGGTTGTGTCCGCCAGAGAAGGGAGATCACGATGCGGATGGTCATCCACCATTGTCCAAGGTCCAAGTATCCATCACTTGGTTGACAGCGGAGATCAGGCGTAAGCACAACCCTGAGTTCGGAGGCATTCCCCTCACGGAGGAAAGTTCGGAACGTGATAAAGAAATTTATGCACGTATCTACATCCTCGGCATGATCGGAGGAGTCTTCTTCCCCAAGAAATCCAACAACCTAATCAGCAATTCATGGTTGAAGATCATACTTGGTGATTGGGATGACATGGGAAACCTGAGTTGGGCATCTGCTTGCTTAGCTCATCTCTACCGATCTCTATGTAATGCTAGTGCGAGAGCGGTGAAGGAGATTGATGGGGCTATGTTCATCGTCCAATTTTGGGCTTGGGAGCATTTGCCATGGATTGCGCCGAAGGTTGAACCCGACAGGGAATGGGGTCCCGACCATCCCCTACGACATGAAGCTTATGGTTGTAGGTAAATGTTTTCTATCCCACTCATAGTTCTCACAATTTTTTACTAATTGGATATTTTATAACGAATTGGGTATTATGTATTAACACTCCATACTATTTGGATTGAATAGGTGGCTTGGTGAAAAAACATGCGACAACCTAGGAGCGCATAAGTTGGAGGAGTATCGTAGGAGGCTTGATCGCCTTTGGGAAGCAGAGGTGAGCATCATAATACGATATTAAAATCTACTTTTTTATGTTATATTATTATGTTGATTAATGGTTTTTTTTTATAAACCTTTGTAGCTCAAGTTCGATCCGTATCCAGAACGGATTGTTGCGCATCACGTTCACAAATTCCCGTTACATCCCGGTCAATGGTGCACCAGAGTTCCACTAATCTGCCACCATATATTGGAGTAGCACTTGCCGGATCGATGTCTACGACAATTTGGACGTGAGCAATGCATACCATTGGATGTCCCGGAGAGTCAGAAGGGGTACCACGGGAAAGATGGTCGACAGAGACCCATTAATTGGCCGGAGGAGTATGGAAACTTGATCCGCCTATGGAATGTTAGGCAAGATCAGGATATTGTGACGGCATCTAATGTGGGGCGGATGGGCTACCATGACCCATACATGGAAACCTACCGTCGACAATCTGTTCGCTACATGACCCCCGAAGGAGCAGCGGACGGAGCTTTGGTAAGTAATTATTTTTTTATTTTTTTAGTCATGCGGTGCATTATTTTCTAAATGGCTAACTTTGTTATTTTCTTCGTATTAGGTTGATGGCATCGAGCGAATCCACGACCTTGCGCGGACGGCAGATCCTTTGGCGGCGGGTCGAGAGGTGGGGCTCATTCGGAGGATAGCGAACAATCTTCTTGGCTGTATGCGAGCGCGCGGGCGTGACCATCATAGATACCCTCCAGTTCCCCCAATGAGACCGCCGCCGGTTGTGCAGGATGTTGAGCCGGTGCCTCCGCCGGTCCATAGAAGACCAAACAAAGCTACAAGGGATCGACCTCACGTGCCGGAGATCAAGCCGATTGAGGCGTGGAAGGCGCCTACTCCTTTGGAGGTGTGTAGCGGTGAAGGGGGGAGTACTCACTACGATCCCACGCCCGGAAGCCAGTATGATCCGCGGTCGAGCTTCCAATACAATCTCCGCCCCAGCTTTCAGTATGAACAACGGCCAAGTACATTTCATGATGGCACATCCTCAGCAACTTGGGCCGAGGGTTCATACTCAAGTCCCCACCAAGACTATGCACCTATGCAGCGACCACAACAACAATGGCAACAACAACAATGGCAATCCAGTCCTCACCAAGACTTCTCACCTTGGAATCGACCACAACACCAATGGC